TGTTTCTCAGCCTTAGCAACTTTAAGATGAGTGGACTTCAACTCCTGGGTGGCATGTAAAGACTGGTGGGCTGAGTGGAAGAGCAAACAGGAGCACTTTATGCTAATAAATTTCTTTGCAGTCATACTTGTCCCTCTTAATATTATTTTGTGGAAAATAAAACTGCTAAAATGTGAGCAGTGTAGGTCTTTTTGTAAAAAGGGATATAGATTTAAGGTGAGAAAACAAATCTATTAACAAGCAACAAGGTTTATCATAACCTGTTATGAATCTATTTGAGGATTGACCCCCACATTCAGCATTTGGACAGTTTAATGGAAACAGACTGATAGTCTTTAGAGAGGAAATTCAGTATCAGTTTCTTGCAAATGGGATCACGTCTCTCTTTGGTGCAAGATCTTTCTTCCTGAGAAGACTGCTGAGATATGAAATGCATCGATGGACAAAAAACAGGATTAGCTTGTTCTTATTACAGTACTGATAATGTTTTATTCCATCTGAGCCATGCTCAATTGTTATCAGTCTGTGCCAATTAGAAGTGTATATTTGCGGGTGGGGGTGTGTGCACAAGCATATATGTGTACTCATAAAAGGAAGAAAGACCTACAACTTTCTTTCCAAGATGGATGTTCACAGTACGTCGTAGGATTCTATTAAGATCTATGTTAGTTTTTGCTTTATTCTCTGAATTTTCCTCAGATAAGGATATAAAAGGAAAATCCATATTCCAAAACTAGTGTGGCAGTCTTAATATCTAACATTTCAAATAATATCAAAACAGGAAGTATGTGGAATATGTCATGGAAATATGAATATGCAGTGCAGAACAACCTATGCTAGAAGCTGAAATTCACAACTCAGTTGTCTACCTTTTATTATGTTAAAAAAGAAAGGGGGGAATGGAAAACAAAGGGGAAAGGTGATGCTGTGAGGAGGGGCTGGAGACTAATGGTGAGTATGCATAAGTTTTGCTTGCATAAAATCTATAGAATCAATCCCAACACCTCAAGTTAATTGGAAAAGTAGTGAGAAGAGGAAATATTTTTACATGATATGTGATACAGGGACAAAAAAAATGTGGTACTTCCAGACACAATTCTTGGTATCTGCCAAATTTCCTGTCTTCTCTGACTTTACCATTAAATGGGAAACTGGCATCAACGTTATTTACAAACCTCCAACATTAACTGTATTTGCAAGGCTGTAGCTACATAGGCCCTATATTCACTCATAGAAAATAAAAATTATGGGTGCTGTTTGGAAGTGTCTGTATCTGTCTAGAACAAGCAGGAATGGTAGGGAACATTTTGGGAGGTTGGAAAGAATGATATGAGTAGCAGCAGCATCTTGCCTTGTGATTAAAAGGTGTTTTACAACTGATCTTGCCTGCTACAACCATTTTGTGGATGTGTTCAGGATATGTGCCTGCCTATCCAAAAAAATTACTTAGCCCTGATTACTGCTGCTTGCCAAGAGGATAGGTAGCCATAAGTTAAATAGGCAATGGATGTGATTCATCCACATAAGCCAGCTTCATATGGTTATTATTAATAGTGTTACTAATTTTTTATTTCTATCTATCTGGTATAAAATAGAAATGGGAGTTGAATTCTTACGTATCTGTAGGGTATAAGATTGTAGAAGATACAATTATTTCATGAAAGTGCAAAACCTGCCTTCATAAGATTTTCCAGTAAGGCTTGAAGGAAGAATATGTTGCAGATCAGGTAAGAAGAGCATGTGTACAAATATATACAGGTAGTTCTTGACCTACAACTATTTGTTCAGTGACCATTCAAAATTAATGACAGCACTAAAGGAATGGTGGTTACGACCAGTCTTCGGTGTTCCAGCCATCCCAACACCCCCATGGTCACGTGATCTCACTCACTTGACAACCGGTTCGCACTTATGTGATCGCAATTTGCAACCTTCCCTGCTGGCTTCCCCAGAAAGTCAATAGGAAAGCTGGCAGGGAAGGTCGCAAGTCGCTGAGGTAAGTCCCATGCACCCACACACCCCTAGCCCCTCTGTGCTTTGGCTACTAGCCACTCGCGTGCCCTCACACACCCTCTGCGACTTGCACCACACCCTCATGCATCCTCCCTGACCCAAACTGCACCACACCCCCATGTGCCCTCCCCATGCCCCACCTCTCGCACCCTCGCACACACTCCCCAGTCCATGCCTCATCCTCGCACACATTCCCCAATCCATGCTGCTGCTTCACACATTCACCCCAACCTGCACTGTGCCTCTTGCATGCACCCTCACACACCCTCCCCAATCTTCCCTACACACTCCGTCACTCCCTCCTCCATCCGGCAGCAGCCACTTACCTGTCTGCTGGCCTGAGACTTGCAACTTCCAACCAGCTTCTCCAGTGATTTTGGTTATGGGAAGCTGGCAGGAAGTTGCTTTGCCTAACAACTATGGGATTCAGTTAATGATGGCAACTGAGACTGCAGGGATTGCCATTACTAAGCGATGTGGTTGTGTTTTACTACCATATCACTTAGCGATGGAAATTCCGGTCCCAGTTGCCTTCATGAGTCGAGGATTACCTGTAAATTTATGTTCTCTCTATTTAATTCTATGTCAAATGCTAGCAAAATAATGCTTAGATCATCCAATGTAGATTAGAGTCCTACATGGAAAAAGAGATGCCAGATAATCAAGCTGGCCATAGAAAAGGCTGAGGAACATGCGACATCATTGCTGATGCACACTGGATAATTAGGAAAGCCAAATAATACTAAAAAGGAGTCAGTATGTGCTTCATTGATTCTAGAAAGGCCTTGGAGCTGTGAAATGTGCTTCAAAAATGGGAATTCCAGAACATGTCATTACCCTCATGCAAAGCCTATATTCAGCCCAGGAAGCCACAATACAATACAGACTGGCTCCAGGAGTAAGTGAGACAAGGCTATATACTCTCCCCTTATTTGTTCAACCTATATGCTGAATATAGGAAGGGAAACTGAATTGGAAGAAAGCAAGTATGATTTTAAAATTGGAAGAACCAAATCAATCCAGAATTCCCACTCAAGGCACAAATGATCAAGCTCAAATTACCCTATTTTGAACACATTATGTAGAAGGCTGGGAAAGGTGGAATGAAAGAGAAGAAGAGGATGACCAGCAGCAAGGTGGATAGACTCAGTTACAATGGCAATGGGTGCATTGTTTGGAAGATTTGAAGGACCAGATAAGGGACAGATCCTCATAGAAAAAATCTATGTTGATGCTAACAGTCAACAACAACTTGATGACACATAATTCAATTTGATGAGTCCATAAGTATATTTGTGGGACTATATTTCCTTATCAGAAGAGTCAAAGCACACCTGTAGCTAAATAGAACAATTATCAGTAAATTCTTCAGAAAATAAAAGATAAATATCTGTGTGTTTCCCACCAGTTAAAAGAACCTATTTAAAGCAAGTTATGGAATTCTGATGAAAAAATAAAAGACAATAGCGATTGGGCTAAACTAAAATTCTTCCTCCAAAATTTGGGATCCATTCTTAATATTTTTGCCAACAGAACTGTACAGTTTTGCAAACACATATAGAGAAGAGTTCAGCATGGCTTGAATAATAATTCCCTGGTGGTATCCCATTAAGTCACTTTGTAGCTTGAGCCATATAGATGCAGCATGTGCTATCAGTCCATTTTCTGAGCACAGTTGCATTACACAGTTGCTAACATTTATTTGACCTTGAAGTTCAGGAAGTATGGCATACTTCAGAACAGGGTAAAATCAACTTTTCTCTTTAACGTACCACATTGACCAAAAGAGAAAAAAGAAAAGAATTGGTTCAATTAAAGATAAAATATTAATCCCACACTTCTTTAAGAGTCTGGAATCCTTATAGAAATAAGTTCAGACATCTCACTGTTGTTGCCAATTATTTACCATGCTGAGTTTAAGACAGCAAAATCAGTGGGGTACTTCTATTGGAGAACAAAATAACCTAATATGACTATATCGAATTATAATAAGAAACCATATGATTCTGCTTTCTACAGTAATGAAAAAAAAAACTGGGGGAAAAACATCTAAAACTCTTAAACATCTAAACAGCAATAATTATGAATAATCAGAGTGAGATTTAACCAATGAGAGTTTTGAGCAACTATGGAATATAGGTTGCAGTGATCCAGGTTTATACAGTGTTTTGTTGCGTGGATGCTATGGATGGCAAAATTAATGTAGCACATACGTGCATGTTTAGTGGGCTACATTTTAGAGGTAGTGTCTTGTGATTCTGATTTGTTTTTAATTATTACTTAATATGATTATATAAGACTTGTGACAGAGAAAGAGAGAGAAGGACAGAAACATTTGAAAGGTGAGATGAATTCTATAAACTTTTTCCATGGTAGAATACTTTGGGGATAGTTGTAAATAGAATTGTATTATTTAAAAAATATTACAAATTCATTTTATCATCTAATGTTGTTGGAGGTTGGTTTAGATACTTTAAAGAACTGGTTGACATTTTTAAGCAGCTCAATTAAAAATAAAATATTAATTCCATTTTTTAAAAAGTTTTGGAGGAACTATTAGAATTTTCTTGAATGAATATAAGTAACAATCCCATTAAAAATGTATTTGATTAATTGGGGAGGGGGGGAGGGAGAGAGGCTGAAAGATTTTTATGTATTCATACCTTCCATAAAAACATGCTCAGGATAGTTTACAATAGTTATCTTATATATTACTATTACATACTTGTGAGAACTTGCATTCTTCCTGTATTTTATTCTGTTGAATATATAACTGGTTATATTGTTGTAATATGGTTTCCAAGTCAATTCTAAATTACAATGAAGTTAAACAGGTTTACATTTCATATATGAAATGTGCAAATATACATCATCCTGTTTGCATCTAGTAGTCTATCTATTATGGGCCTTTGCCTAAGAGTCTGTTTTTGAATTTTGATTTGATTTGTTTATTTGCTTATTTGCTTATTTATCTATTTTTTAGGTCAGCAGGTTCTTGGTTTGGTAGAGAACCAGAGTGACTGGTACCTAGGAAACCTTTGGAAGAATCACCGTCCCTGGCCAGCTCTCGGAAGAGGTTACAATACAGGTATGTTCAATAGTATTCTGAAGGGAATGTTGTTTCTGACTAGTATGACACCTGACATTGTAAAAGACATCAATAAAAATATATTATTCTAAAGAAGAGATGTTCCTTTCCACTTCATCTGCCATGGATGTGGACTCAATTGGTTCTTGAAGTGTATGAGCGCCCTCTAGAGGTCAGGAGTTTGAGAAAACTAATTATAACCAAGGCCAAATTATGACAAGCTAGAAAGTAGTATATTGTTTTCTTTCTGTTTTTGCTACAGCAGAATCATCTATTCAGTGTATAATCTAATTTGGAGCAGTGTGTTTTGACTGATTTTGTTCTCTCCTACACTCTACCCCCTTCAACTGTTTAGATTCAGTCATTTTCTGAAAAAAGTGTCACCTGGAGAAATAAGAGCGTTCTAAGCTTATGTAATCAAAACTTGCATTCATAAATTTGAAAGTGCTAGTTGAAATTTGATCCCATGAAATGAGTTGTTGGACAACTAATGTTTATAAGTTGACTGAACATTTTGCTGAAAGTATAATTGTTTTATATCCAAGCATTGATTGTTACCATTTTAATATTTGAATTCTGTTCCAAATGAAATGCATTCAAATAATTTCTTCTTAATAACATCTCTTCATAATTTAACATATGAAATGGGGATGCCTTTCTGCTTTTTATGCTCAGTTCATGTTGTAAAGATAATTGTAGAATTTTCTCAGACTTATAGTATCTCATACCTCTGGAGTTAACCTTCCCTTCTAGCTTGATCGTTTGTCATTACTTGTGGAACCACAATAAGATATGACATAAAACATCAACTTTTACAGCCTGAGTTAAGTTTGTAATGCAGTGGCAAGACTCATTTTAGAATAGGAAGAGTTGGGTTCAAATCCCTGATCTGGTACAGAATTTACAAGCATCAGAGTATGGATGGTATATCTTCAGCATAGTGATAAGATCATAATAATTGTCCAAATAAATCTAATGCCAAGCTGTCAAATTCCCTTCCCCAAAGGGAAAAAGAAGCATGCTCTCTGCGACTTGATTTATGGGGAGGGACAGGTTTCTCTACTGATTTGTGTGTGAAATGTGAGCAGACATACCAGGTGGATAAAGAACATGCCCATAGGCCTCTAAATCAGTTCCTTCTCATACTTTAGGTGGTCAGATGGTGACTTATGTTCCATTAGCATCTTAAATAAAAGGAGACAGCAGCTGGGGAAGGATCCATTTCTAAAGGAAACGTTCCTGTTAAATAACTGTGCCACCAACCAATTCTTCGTGGCAATTGAAATGTTTACCAAAGAATTTCTTCAGTCTCTGGGAAAGATTTGCTATTGTGAAAAAAATTAATATACAACAATTAAGTTAATGGCATTATTTATATTATGATGTAAAGGTAGAAGAAGATTATAAACACCTTGATATTATGGTTCTGGAGGCAGTTACTATAGAATGAACACTATGGACTGCCAGAAGACCCAATCCATCAGTCTTGGACCAAATAAGGATTGGCTTCTCTCTTGAGGTGATGACCATCAAATATAAATTCAAATTCTTTCAACAACTGTAACAAGTGGAGGATGGTCTTAAAAAATGGCAGTGCTTGGCAAAGTTAAGAGAAGTATAGAAAGGGAAGACAGTGGGTTAGGTGAGTGGATCGAATTCCAGAAATTGTAGAGCTGTTCTTAGAAAAGCTACAAATTATTACTAGAGGTAGATCAAGATGACAGGCATATGTATGTGCGGTCATCAAGAGTCCAGTTTGATTCTCAGTAGCACCAAACTATTTAATCAAGGGTGGAACACATTAATTGGAATGGTTCCTAGGACATGAAAATGAAAGTGAACTCTTATCTGCCATTTAGCACAGTCAATTCTTGTGCATAGTGGGGAAACAATTGTATTATGAAACAGGGTAATTCTACCTGCTATCTGATGGGCTAGATGACACCTAGAAAGGGACAAATAACCCATCCACTGTCATGATGGAAAGGCAGTTAACAACGTGGTATCCTGATTCAGTTTTGCCCATAATATATGTTCTAAACTTCACAAATTTAAACTTGCAAAAGAAAGATTTACACGACCTGAACAGAGATCAGAGTATATTTACTGTTTGTTTACTGATGTTTTATTTTCCATCCACTATGTCGTTTCTCGTTTTCTTTTTCTTCTTTTATGTATGTCTTTATTTTATTTTTTAATGTTTTAAAATAAATAAAAATTAAGAAATAAAAATTAAATTTGTGACATTCTGGTTGTGGCTCTAAGCCTTATTATTAACCAAACTTTGTTGCCCAGGCCATAGTTAGCTATGTTGTCACAACATATGTTTTTATTTATTTATTTATTTATTTATTTATTTATTTATTTATATTTCAAATTTGTCACTGCCCATCTCACTAAATTATGGTCTACAAATAAACAAAATTTTGGCAAAGTGTAATGTTTTAACCCGGCCAGCTTGGTGCTGTTAAGATATAAAGTACAAGAAGTATCTACTGCTAGTTTGCATTCTGCCTACTATGCTATACATCACCAGGGAATGCACAACATTAAAAAAACACCTTTGGTATAATATAAAACATATTAAAATGAGACATTTTAAGGCAAATTAAAATTATATTTAATTCCCAGGTTTTATTTTTTTCTCCTGTTACAAGAACACTGTATCATTTGTTGTAAGAAATTGTGCAGATTTCTTTTGCATCCCTATTGAGTAAAGTCAAAATCACTTGATTAAAAAAATACTGAACTAATAAATACTGGTCAACCTGATTCCCTTTCATTTGCTACTAGGCCAGTTCACATGCTTGTCTAACCAACAACAGTCTTTCTTTGGCACACAAACAAGCAAGTAGCTTTAAATGTAATGTGTAGGACTGAGACTGGTGAGGTAGGAATAAGCACTGCTCAGATCAAACAAAGCCATTGTGTAAATGTAGAGGAGATGCATTCTTATCTCAAGACTGGGAAAAGAACAGGCAAACAGGTGGAAGAAAAAGACTTATGATTGAAATCCTGAGACTGACTGGTGCTCCCTGTCTATCACATATGCATGTGTTGATAGATG